CTGGAGCTATACTCCAATGTGCACTAGACGCAAAACATATGTCATATCCAGGGCACTGGTGTAATTGATGGTGCTTTTGCAGCATCGTATGACTGCAGTGTACCAGCGCTTTAATGACACAGCATTCAAACCCAAATCCTGCACCTCCCGTTGTGCACCTTTGGTGGCAGATGCCCCTAAAAGCTAAATCATCAGATTGAACTCTGCCTGGCAACTCTCTGAAAAGCAGAACCCATATGTCTTGCAGGCACTTAAGGGAACATAGACAGGAGAACTGTAAAGGAAGAGATAGAAGGTGGGAGTGCCAGGCTCTGAATCGACTCTATTCTGAACACACAAGTACAAAGCACTAATCTGAGCACACAGCAGTCATTCTGTGAAACTAGCTTGGTGACTGGCCTTCAGTTTCTCGGCTCGTGCAGCCACTATCTTGTGGGAACAGAGTCTACTTTCCTCTGAGCCAGTAGCATCTCTCCCCTCATCCCCACGTGAGCACTGATAGAGCTACAGAGAAGCAAAACATAGTAAGAAGGCTGAATGTTAACAGAGGAGTTTCCTTCACAATATGCCCAATGCTTTTGTACTTCTCAGAAGCCAGTACTTGTAAGAGTGAGCAGCTCCGAGCAACTCAAAAGGACCATTCCAAAAGCAATCATCATTTGGGAGAAATAGACAGAACGTATACTTTACCATCCCCTGGAATAATGCGCAGAGTAACTGTATTCCCGGCTTCTTTAATTAGGTTGACGATGTCCGAATGTGATTTGTTGGTGATGGAGCATCCGTTAACAGCCAATATCCGGTCCCCCACTTTCAGCTTCCCGCAGCGGTCTGCTGGGCTTCCCTCAATAATCCGACCTATTTTGTGAGGCATGGCCACACATGCATTGCCTGCTTTTTTATTGATATTGCGAATATATAATTTTTTTGCGCGTGTGCATTTTTTAAAATTGTTTATAAACGTTGGGAACATGGTGAAGGGGAAAGGAAAAAAAGGGTTGAAAAGGGAAAGAGAAGGTTAAGGGTTAATTAATTAATGCATCAAGCAAAAGTTATTAAAGGATAGCTTTGCTGCCAGTGTTCAAAACATTGGCAATTGACTTGGCGAGCACAAATTAGAACTCGCAACCCGGTTATTCTCTATGGCTCATTTAGTAATCCATCTGCACAGTCACAAATTCCCTCTTGTTAATTTGGCTGAGAATCGCATGAATAGGCTGCAGCTATGCTCAGCAGTCCCCAAAATAAAGCCAGACAAGATTTTCACTGCAAACTTGAAACCACTAGAAGGGAACGCAACCCTCTTTTTACTTTCTTTCATTTATAATAACTTCTTAGCCAGTAGTTTTAAGCTTCTGCCAATGTTTTGTTCTTTCTCCAATATGAAAGAATTCTATTCCTACTAAGGAATAAGAGTATAGTTTTTTCCCCTAAATCCATAGTGATCCATTCTATTAATGAACACACTATGGGTAAAAGTGATAAGGAACTGGGTTTTCCCCCTACAAAGAACAAAGGAACTATCTGAGACATGGAGCAGAGCCACTAAAGGAATAGAACTAGAACGTGTGGTTTTCCAGGACTGCTCACCTTGGAGCCATTTGATAACTCTTCCCTGTTTGTGATCTCCAGCCCAAAAAGACAAATGGGCCCCAAATAGCTCAAGCCTCTCAAACCTAACTAAGCTCTATCTAGCACCCTGACTGTACCCTGGTAAGCAGACTTACAACCAAGTGCATTTAGGATTGCATCGTGAATCTGTTTAGATTCATTTATTCGTAAATCCCACTGGCTTCCTTGAAATTGATTTCCACATTAGAACTCAAGACAAGGAAGGAACTGGTGATCTAGGATCAATGCACTCTCTCTCCTGCCATCATCACTACTACTTAATCCAATGAATTCTTTATTTCTTTGCTGCAACAAAACAGGAGCAATTAGGTAGAGAAAGAGGTACTTTTCTCCCTTTCTCACAATACAAGAACTCGTGGGCACTCCATGAAACTGCAGAGCGGTCGGGTTAGAACGGATAAAAGGAAGTACTTCTTCACCCAAAGAGGGATTAACACATGGAATTCACTGCCACAGGAAGTGGTGGCGGCTACAAGCATGGACGGCTTCAAAAGGGAATTAGATAAGCATATGGAGCAGAGGTCCATCAGTGGCTATTAGCCACAAGGCATAGCTAGGGGCTCTGGGGCAAGCGATGCTCTGTCTTCTTGGTGCTTGGGGGGGGGTCAACAGTGGGAGGGCTTCTGATGTCCTGGCCCCACTGGTGGACCTCCTGATGGCACTGGTATTTCTGGCCACTCTGTGACACAGAGTGTTGGACTCGATGGGCCTTTGGCCTGATCCAACATTGGCGTCTCTTATGTTCTTATGTAATTGATCAAAAATGGACACAAGCATGGCAGCTACTTGACATTCAATGTCTAGGTGATGGCGATTGTATCTCCTGACAATGGGCCATGTTCAGGATCCTAAACTGTATGGTGATCATAGCAAGTGATCTTCTTTTTCAGTCTTTAGGCACAATGTGGCCGAATTTAAGTCCATTCTAAGGCCCATCAATCCTTATAGTGTGCTTAACGCCAACTGAAATCCATAGGCTATAAAAGCATTCAGCATTGACTGGCTTATGTCCCTGGCTGCATTCATTCTCACAATGACCCTGGAGCATGCTGTTATATCTTATTTTATTATCATCTTAAATTCCCTTATCTCTTTCCAGTACCTTCATGGATACTGAACTCAGCAATCCAGAGAAACACTGAGGGATTCCCAATGATGCTGCAGCCAAGGTGAGGGCCCAAAGTGTCTCATTTCTTAGAGGCTATATAATGTCACACTTTGCCACTGAAACTATATGGCATGCACTGAAAGGGAATTGCAAAATTGTGACAAATGAGGGATTATGAGAATTAGTTAAAACAGGGAACCAATGTGACAAAAGGGAATTTAAAAGGCCTTACACAGTAAATTTATGAGAAAGCTACCGTATTTTTTGGACCATAAGACTCACTTTTTTTTCCAAAAAAAGTGAGGGGAAAAGTGTGTGCGTCTTATGGACCGAATACTGAGCCCCAGGGTTCAGAATATTTTTTCCCTGTTTTCCTTCTCTAAAAACTAGGTGCGTCTTATGGTCCGAAAAATACGGTATTTTAGAATTTTTTCTTTCTGGTATCTCACAACAGAACTCAGCATATCTACACACAAAATCCCAATCCATGCTGGAAGCACATTTGAGAAATAGGAACATATCCCCATGCCTTGTGGCATGGTTGGCCTTTTTTGGGATATAAGCTCATAACATTTTTTTAAAATATACCAAGATTTTCATTAAACTTCTTGACAACTTGTATACTTATAGGACAATGCTTCAGTTATGTTACTCAATGCTCACATTTTGACATCCCAACACTGGAAAAATAAGTAAACTTCCAGCTTTGCAGAACAAATTCAAAATATGGGGACATTGTAATAGTGAGCAAATATCATGGGTCAAATATGGGACCATTATGCAATATGTGTCGGCCATAAATAGACAACATGTACCTAAAAATGAACAGCGTTTTGTAGATGTTAAACTCAGTTCACACAAACTGGGAGCCCACTAGTGGTGCATATTGGGAGCTTGCGTATCTCTGCTATGCACTAGATTTGCACAGCTGCTGTCTTGTGTGCACTAGGCAATGCCAGGATTTTCTATGCAAATACAGTTTCCATTCTCATGAATGGAAGGTTTGTTTCACTTACCGTGAACCTCCCTTCTTGGTGGTCCAGGGTGGGGAGCCTCCACATATGGGAAGTAGCTCATCCCCAGAGAGAGGCAGGGTCACTGTGGTTTAGATCCCATGGGGGAGGAGCTTCTCCCCATGGTCCTAGCCTGGTTCCAAAGCATTCCAACTCTTAACCACGAGTTTAACAAACAGGTCAACACCCCCCCAAAAAAAAAACACCACCCAACAGCCAAACAAAGGGATATCAACCCATATAATTATAGCAAAGAACAGACAAGACCAAAGAGTGAATAGGGGACCCTACAGGGTGCCTTGTAGAAAAAAAATCCAAGACCTTAAGGCTGAGCAGAATACTTCAGCCAGGCCACAGGCCTATGATCCTCTGAGTCAGTCTTTGAATTAGCTGAATGGGAGGGGACTTGTACAGCCGCCCTGAGCCTGCTCGCGGGGAGGGCAGGGTACTACTACTACTACTACTACTACTACTACTACTAATAATAATAATAATAATAATAATACAGTTAGAGCAGCTATGCCTATTCCCTGGGGCATCTCGTCCTTGTAGTGAATCTGGGCACCTGATGATTGAGCTCTGATGCAAAGAGATCCGCCTCTATAGTGCCAAATCTGTGGCTGACCAGGCAGAAGATTTCCTTGTTCAGCATTCACTCTGCCTGGTTCAGAGAGCCAGTCCACCATGAAGTTGGATGTACCAACTACATGTACCACTTTGATCGGCTTGAGACATGTTTCCACCCAACGCAGTATCAGTGTCACTTCCGCATGAAGACAGCTGCATCTCATGCCTCCCTGGAGACTGATGTAGAACTTGGCAGTCGTATTGTCTGTACGAACAAGGATGTCCTTCCTGACTAGAAGATCCTGGAAGGCTAAAAGACCCAACCTTTTCATCCTGAGCTCCAGAAAGTTGATGCTCCACCATGTATCCTCCTGAGACCAGAGGCCTTGTGCCATCCTGCCATGAGAGTGGGCTCCCCATCCTAGGAGGCTGGCATCTGTGGTTAGCTGAGACATGCTCGGATCTCTGAGAGGGGACCCCTCTAGGAGTCTGGATGGGTGCAGCCACCACTGTAATTCCTGAAGGAGATTGCTTGGAAGTTGGATGATCTTGCGTCTTTTGTGAGCTATCTCATCTTGGAAGGGAAGAAGAAACCTTTGGAGAGGGCGAGCATAGAACTTTGTCCAAGGGACAACATCCTAACAAGAAATGAGCATCCCCAGGAATCTCCCCAGAAGCATGACTTCCAAGCGAGACTGTTGCAGGATACCCCCTCAGCAGGGAAAGGATTTTCTCTTTCCTCTCTTGAGACAGGAAGACCTGGTCCTGACCCCCAGAGGAAGTACCCGCTGTGTGGATATGAGGCAGTTCTCCTCCCTGTTCATGACAAAGCATGCAGACAGGCGAGGGTCTTCTCCACATTGGATGCTCCCTGCTGGAACAAGGGAGACTCGATAAGAATGTCATCCAAATAAGGAAAAAAATGAAATGCCCTGGGTTCTGAGGACAGCTACCAGGGAAACCAGCACCTTTGTGAATACTCTCGGATCGGTCTTGAGAGTAAACGGAAGAGCCCAATATTGGAAGTGTCTTCCTCTGTAGGCATAATGGAGGAATCTCCAGTGAGTGTCCCAAATCAGTGTATGAAAATATGTCTCTGATAGATCTATTGAAGCTAAGAAGTCCTTTTCCTGAATAGCAGAGATTATCAACCTGAGAGTTTCCATCCAGAACTTCCACTTCTTTATCTGGCAATTCAGTCATTTCAAGTCCAGAATGGCCATCACATCCTCATTCTTATTTGGAACAATGAAGAAGATTAAATAGACCCCTGAAGATCTCTAGTTCTCTGGAACCAGCTCTATGGAGCCAATATCCAGCAGATGTTGATCGCCTGAAGAAGCAGCCTGTGTTTCTTTGTGTCCCAACACTTGTATGAATCTGCTGTGGGGAAAGGTTTGCACTTCCAGAGAGTAGGCATGTGAGACTGTGTCCAGAATCCACCAATCACTCACTAATAACCTCCAGCAATCTGCAAAAAGTTGAAGACAAACTCCAATGTTTGGCGGGGCTGGACAGCTGGAAGAGTCATGCAGAAGAGCTCTTCCTTGTACCCTGAGAGGCCTGATTGGCTG